ATATATTTATTAAAATTAAAATTGATGTTTAATTTTAAATTTTTAATTCGATCCACTGGACGTATGTTGGACCCATCATCGTTATTCTTTTACCTACCAATTCTTAAGAACATGTCATTTGTCACTCAATTTGATCAAATCCAACATGGAAATAAATAAATATAAACTCCGTGTTTTGTCTTTGAATCATTCTGTAAGCCATGTAAACATAAATGACACATACACCATATTTTTCATATTCAATATTTTGTGAATATATTTGATAATCTTTAATATAATAAAAAAAGTTAAATATAATATAAAAAAGAATTAAATAAAGTTGATAAAATATTAATAAACATCTTAAAATTGTATGAATTATTAATAAACGCCATAAAAATGTATGAATTATTAAATGTAATTTTACTAATTAGACATAAATCATTGTGTTTCAATCTACAAGAACCTAAAAATATTGGCAAACGAATTAATAGCCATTATAATTGAAACACCCAAGTGAGTGAAATAATCATGACTGGAAAAAATATTTTAAGAAACTCAAGTGTTCAAAAAATAATTTAAATTTCTTATAATGTTTTTAGAACTCATTGCATGGATATAACGTTTTAAAATATAATAAATATTATGAAATATATAGATACAACGAGTTTCATGTATAATGTAATAAATAGTTTAAATCATACCAATAACCTGTTGGTCTAGTGAGACGAGAAACTAGATTTTTTTAGCAAGTTTAGAGGTTTGAATCTTAATGTTTGCATATGTAGCAAATTGGATTGAGAGGATCATCCTCGTCTCTACAGTGCTTGATATGAATTAGTCGATCAATAGATCAGATGCACATGATTAATTCAAATAATTTAAATCCCAAAATTAATTATTTTATTTTTCTAAATTTTTTCGCCAACAATATTTTCAAATCTTGTAGTATTTTCATATACTATATGAAAGTGCATTTCCTAAATTGGAAAAGCACCTATAACACCAAAAATAGGGAGAGAACAAGGACATAGAGATCTTGGGGGAAAACTAAAAAAAATAATTTAGACACACAATAAAATTAAAATTGAAAATGAAAAAAATTTACTAACAATATGACTATCATCAGTCTTTTCACATCTCAAATTTTGTTTCTTTATGTAGGGATTGTCTCAGGAAAGGTGGGATAAATATATGGCTAATATACGACGTTACAAGATACATTAAAAGATATTTAACAAATTCGGTTTAGCGTTACCGGAAATGTTGAGTAATAATAATGTAGTAGGTGTAAATCATGAAGAAATATTAAAAAATTTGGCAACTGACAAACTTAGCTTGTCGGTTTGTGTCGATCCAAATAAAAAATGTATCAATCCATATCAATATAACAGGTAAAAATATGACAAAACCGGTTCAATTATGACAACCGGTAAAGCGCTATCGGATATGTTGAAAGTATTGATTAGATTGAAATAAGTATCGACACTTTGGGAATTTAAAAGAGAACCAGTAATAGCACCTATAAAGTGTCGATACTTTATAAAAATGTATTGTTCCATAACAATATAACAGGTAAAAATATGACAAAACCGATCTCGAAAAGACAAAACTGGCAAAACGCTATCGGATCTGTTGAAAGTGTCGATACTTTGAGAATTTAAAAGAGAAGCAGTAATAGTTCCTATAAAGTGTCGATACTTTATTAAAATGTATCGATCCATAACGATATAACAGGTAAAAATATGACAAAACCGGTGCTTCAAATGAAAAAACTGGAAAGCGCTACCGGATATATTGAAAGTGTCGATACTTTAATATAAGTATTGACACTTTGGGAATTTAAAAGAGAAACAATAATAGCGCCTATAAAGTGTCGATACTTTATAAAAATGTATCGATCCATAACGATATAACAGGTAAAAATATGACAAACCCGGTGCTTCAAATGACAAAACCGATAAAGCGCTATCGGATATATTGAAAGTGTCTATACTTTAATATAAGTATCGACACTCTGGGAATTTAAAAGAGAAGAAGTAATAGCGCCTATAAAGTGTCGATACTTTATAAAAATGTATCAATCCATAACGATATAACAGGTAAAAATATGACAAAACTGGTCTCGAAATGACAAAACCGGTAAAGCGCTACCAAATATATTGAAAGTGTTGATACTTTAATAAGTAAGCATAATAAATTATCGATACTTTCAAAGAAATAGGTAATTATCCTATCGAAAGTATCGACACCTGACATAAAAGTATCGACACTTGTGTAGTTGTATCGATTAAATATAAATAACATATCCGGTGAAAATATAAAGGGCATAGCTAAATATCCTCTGAAAAATAGATAGAACACGGGCGAGTTTTTGAATTCGAATCGTAATTGTTGCTACATTTCAGAAGTCGTTTCTAAAGTGAAGTTTGTTTGTTTGTTGCTGCAGTCGAATCGAAAAGTACATTGTTGAAACCCTAGTTTTTTTATTATTACAGTAATCAAAAATAGAGTTTTTATGTGTTGTTTGGGGTTTTCTAAGTAAAGAAGCATTTGGATAGGTAAAAAATGATATTATAGGTTGTATAAATGTGCCGATACTTGGAGTATTGAGTGTTCCCATTCGTTTGAAGGAAATAGTGATTAGGGTTTTTAGGTTTGGTTTGGGAATTTTGAAACGAAGCCAAGAAGGATTTGAGACTGATTATATAATAGTATAGGTAGAAAATAAATATGGATACCTGTTTATAATATTATATGTAGAAAATGATATTGTAGGTTGTATAAATGTGCCGACACTTGTTGTAGTGGCCATTCAAATTCTTTTGAAGGAAACCGTTTTACTACAAGAGTAGTTATCAATATTTGTACATTGAATAAAGTGTATGTAACCATTATTTGATTTGATTTGCGTAAACTGATATATGGATGAAAAATGAAGTCAAAGTATCTTGGAATTGTTGGTGGTGAAGATGACTTTGAAATTGAGGCCGAGAGTCGAAAGCAACCAAAGGGTGGATATATGTACTTCTAGTAAGTATCAATGTCTTTTTCTTATTATTGTTGAAATGGTAATTGGGTTAAAGTATTTAAGAACATTAAATTGATTACAAACTTTAAATGTTGACAGTATGACCGAATGCCAAAAGATGAAGGAATGTGGCAAACACATCGATTCGATATATAAATTGAATTTGACATTGAGTATTATTTACCGTTACTGTATTGATTAAGAAACATTTATGCTTAATATTAGGTGAAAAATGATGTGTTGGAGAAATGGAATTCGATGAGTGATGCTGAGAAAGAACCTTTCATCGCACAGTCAAAGAAGGATAATGAAGAATACAAAGAATGAAGGAAAGAACATGAAAAGAAGGTATTCATTAAACTTGTAAACACGTTGATACAAAATATATAAGAACAATAACATTATATATTGTTAAAAAAAGTAGAAAATGTCGACAAGGTGCAGCATAAAAAGGGTGAATTCATTAATTGAACACCTTAAGGAGAAGGATCAGTTGAATGTGTTGGAAGAAATAAGGTTTGGATCGTTGGTAGGAGTAAGGTATTGACATATTCAGAGGGAATTGTGTCGATCCTTGATGGAGTAATTTGATGTACAACAATGTATTGCTAAATATAGTGATTATTCATTTCCTCTGGGGGTCCCATGTGCTGCAGCCGTCTTGGGGGTACGAAACGAAGGCAAAAGTGTTGTAGAAGTCTGTAAGAGTAAGAATTGGAAAGCACTTTCCTCCAATTATGGTTTGAAGCAGAAGGTGACATATACTGAAGTTGATGAGGATATCAAAAGTGGATCTTACGGGGGGTTGACCTGAAGGCCCGAGTTCTATTGTACATTATCGGGATCTTTCTTTGTCCAATGGGTGATACGTCAACGAACAAGGACAATATGAAGCTCATTTGCAATGAAGGCTTGAAGGGTGAATTCAATTGGGCTGAATATGTCCATTCAAGATTGATTGAATCAATAATCACCCTTCAAGCAATCTTAGAGGTAACTGAGTTGAAGAACGTTTTTGTTTTTATATAAAATGATAGTATAGTTATTATATAAAAAGATAAATATTATTATAAATGCAGATTACACTGTTTGATCTTTGGTCGAGCTGTGATAGTTTTCCAGCTTATGAAAAAATCGGAGTGGCACACATCCGTGCATGGGGGAAGAAAGTGGTGGTTAGAGTGATGGCGAAGTTGAAGTTGGATAGACCGAGGAAGCAAGAAATGGTAATAAATGTAATTAAATAATATTAAGAATATAATCAATGTCTTAATATTGTAATTTAATTTTGAAGGTTATTGGCAAGGAGGTAGAGGAGGCAATGGAGGCAGAAGAGAAGGAAGAAGAGATGGTTTGGGGTGGATGACGGTAAGGGGAATGACGATGAGGGAAAATAGAGTAAATTTGACATTTTTGATGTCTGAATTGGCTGATATAAAAAAATCCTTTTTGATATTCTGCAAAGACAATCAAGAGTCGAAGAGACACTTGAGAGGCATAAGGGGGAAGTGGAAGGAAAAATAGATGGAGTGGTGAAAAAAGTTGAGGGGTGAAATTAAGATGGTGACGGGTGGAAAAATTAATGGAGTGGTCAAGGAGGTTGTGGAATTGATGAGTGAACTTACGGGGGTGAAGGGGGTGGTTGAGAAAAACTTGGATGAAGGGGAAAAAATGAAGGGTGAAATAAAAGAGATGAATATCTATGTAGAGCAAAAATATGATGAACTGAAAAAAAATAAAGAATAAAAGATGGAGGAAATGAGGAGGAAGGATGTCGATGTGATCTATACACCGGAGAATGTTATAGATGCAGATTTGGATTCGAAATGTCCTACACTCCAGAAGGAGAAACAGAAGGTAAGTTGAATAAAATAAAACTTAATTTGATTTTTATTATGTTGTTGTGACAAAAATTTGTATGCAAAATGGTAGGTTGAAAAAGCGGGTATTCCAAGTGGAATTGATGAGCTCGAAGATGCAATGTGTGATTATTTATGGAATAGTGGGTTAGAATCGGAGTAAGTGAAATATATTGCTTTATGAGTGATATTTAAATATTTCATGACAATATATTAATCCTAATGATTCATACAGATATTCTATAATCTTAATGGGAAATCAATACACTAGTGTATTTGACGTTGCAACGTTAAAGCCTACGGAATGGGTTGGCCGTGTGGTAAGTAGAAAGTACAAAATGTTAAAACCTATTGAATATATTCTAATTGTGTAATTAATTTTGTTAGGTTATTGATTTGCTCGCCTGGACAGTATGCCATGATTCGAAAAAGTCACTCCGGAGGATTGGCTACCTTCCATACCACTTAGCGGTGAGTTAAATTAATAAATGTTGAAAAGTAGTGTTATAGACGGTAAATTAATAATGATTATCGTGTAATTGCAGCAACAGGTGTTGGAGACGAACAAAAAAGTAATTCTTAAGGGTATTGTGAGCTTTTAGGGTCCTATATTGGATAACTATGTGAAATTCACCAACTGTGAGAAGGTAAAACACCATACAAATTGAAAATGATGTTTTCGGATATATAATGTTAAATTTTTTCAAATTGGGTGTGAAATTTGTTGTAGATCATGATCACAATAAACTACCATAACTTCATATTTTTTATTGCAGATGAAAATATTATATAGTTATAATAAGAAATGCAATTGGGTAGAAGCATGTGGCTCTCTAGGAAAGATCCCCTTGAAAAATTTCAAATTTGTGGAGCATAAGATGAATGAGCAATTGAATGGGTATGAGATGTTATCATAAATAGAAAGCTTAATTTATGCATGTTTCATAATTGACATGTGTGTATTCAAATTTTGTAACAGATATGATTGCGACATTTATGTGATGATGCGTATGGAATTGATCGGTTCTAGAGGGGCAACTGGTGATTTTGTAAGTGGAATTAAAAATTAGTTTTCAGTTAAATTGTTAAAAGTCATAGATTGAATGATGTGGTTTACAATACTTAAGGTACTGATAATTTGAATATAGGTTGTTGGACATTGGGATCGTATGCGAATATTAAACGATCTCGTAAGCCACAATCAAAATAAACTAAGAGAGGAGATGACAAAAGCTAGGTGCACGCATAAAGTGTCGATACATTTATAAAAAGTATCGACATCGAAACCCATAATTACAATGTAATAGGTAATTTGTCAATGTAACCGGTATAAATATATTGTTTATGAGAGAATAGGTTTACATAATGTATCGACATTTTAAAATTTTGTGTCAATACAATTTGTCCAGAATGAATGACAAACTAGGTGCACGCATAAAGTGTCGATACATTTAAAATTATATTGATCCCAAAAACATCGAAACCGATAATTACAATGTAATAGGTAAATTTACAATGTAAAAGGTATATTTATACCGGTTTTTTGAGAGAATAGGTCTACATAATGTATTGACACTTTTATAATTTGTGTCGATACTTTTTGTCCATAATGTATGCCCAAACGAGCTGTACGCATAAAGTGTCGATACATTTATAAAAAGTATCGATACATTTATAAAAAGTATCGATCCCAGAAACATCGAAACTCATAATTATAATGTAATAGGTAATTTTTCAACGTAACCGATATATATATACTGGTTTAATTAGAAAATAGGTCAACATAATTTATCGACACCTTTAAAATTTGTGTCGATACTTTTCTTAAATTAGGCGTGTTTTTTCCTTCCTTATTTATATGTTAAAATTTGAATTGATACAAACTCCAAGTCAAAAAACCCTAAACCATAAGGCATAATAAGACAACTCTTTGACTCCGACGAATACCAACGTTCTCATAACAGTTACGATCAGATATTCAGGTAAATTTATCAATATTTTGCCATAAATTAGGGTTTGATTGATTTCCAAATTGGAGTTTTTTTCCCTGAATGTGTTTGTGTTCCAATGTAACAGCATCCACACCCAAAATGGCTCCAAAACGTCAGTGTCAGAGGAGCGGTCTTTCTCAATTCTCTTCTCAATCAAGCTCTTCTCAATGATAACCTCCTTCTCAACCAATCGATTCTTCTGAGAAAATTCGATCGTTGGAAACTCTGAACTTTAGATCCGATGAGGAGAAAGATAGATGGAAGAGGAGTTTCAAAGTAAGGAAGATTCGTCCCGAATGTGTCATTGACCTGTGTTTCTTGTTCGATGATAAATATGGTTTTAGTTTTAAATCCACATTTACATCTTGGTGTTTGCTTGAATTCCTTGGTGTAGAACCAAAATATTACCCCAACCTAGTTAGAGTATTCTACAATAATGCTTCCTTCGAGTGTGAGCCTAATAAGAGTAATACAACAGGAATTAATACCAATGTCATGGGGAAGGATATATATATATCTCCGGATAGTATTGCGGAGGGTATAGGTGTAGAGAATAAAGGGGATTCAGATGAAAATGATTTAGATACTACAATACAATGGGTTACTAGAAATATCACAATTCACCTAGATGTAGAGTCGAGAGTGTTTCATAAAATGATCACTTGGTTTATTCGGCCTAATGGTGGAAAATATTCAACAATTCGAGACAGGGATTATTGGTGGATAGCAAAGTATAGATCCAAAACGGATCCAAACATTGCTAAACTGATATTTAATTCAATTGTATATATGGTCACAAAGGGAGCATCAATTTCAACTTCACTACCATATGAATGTGTCATCACCCATCTATTGAATAAGAAAAAAATTGATTTTTCGCTTGACGCCCCTATTTGATTAACCCGCAAGATTGACATGTTATTTATTACCAGAGCGGGATATGATTTTGTTGAAAAGGTCAGTTGGAAGCATGTCAAGGATGTCGGATTAGATCAAGAGAGGGAGGAAATGGACCCCATTGGCCATAAAGATGACAAACCAATGGGAGACGCAATGTTGAAAGAAGCTTGAGAAGCTCCAGGTGGAGATGATGTCACAATTAAGACAGTAATGGAATATATGGTCAATTTTAAGGAGTATATTGATTCCCTTGTGAGCTGAATGCGAGTCGATATTACATTATTGCGCGATGAAGTCTCCATCTTGCGTAACAAATTACGTCAACGAAATCAAACGAGTTAGGTAATTATTTATTTATGTTTCTAAACATTTACACGTTGTAAAATATATTTTCTTTTCTTTTAACAGATGTGGATAACCAAGCGGTCAATGAAGATGACGATGAAGATGAAGATGATAATGATGATCCAAACAAGTATATCGTGTCTGCAACACCGCCTGCAAGAAAACTTGTAATTTTTTATGTCAATGGTGTCCTTGCCTACTTCCCAAGACATCCAAAAGGTTTTAATTATGTTCTTTTGCATCCATTATTTTAACATATAAGCATACAACTTTAATCTCATTTTCTTCATGTTGTAGATGTTATCCTCATAATAGGATTATATGAATTTATGCATTTTTGTGTAGGTAATTTTGTTGTTGCCATTTGGTCTTCAAAGATGAGGTTAGAACTATTGAGCAATTGAATTACTATAGCCAAAATCGTTAATATACAATTAAATGTTAACATTCAAACTTGATTACAATCTCAGGCATAACATCAACCGTGTACTTCAAAAACTACCTTTGCTGTCTGACCATTTTCTATTCATTTGGGTAAGGGATCAAGCAAAGTGCAAAAAAGACGATAATGTTACCTACTGCAAAGATCTCAATGTTGTTTGGAATTTGTTTCCAGATTTTAACAACCTATATACGCTGTTGGTCGATGATTCAACGAAAAAATGATTAATAATCCAGTTAGTTACATTTATGCAATATGTTTTTCTAGTTAAACAAGTGTTCATACATTGATTGATTAACAATTTATGTGTTTATATAAAAATACAATTACATATGTCCACATTCCTTCGACGCTGCTTCCTATTCTGATGACCATGCTCTAGGTATGATACAAATTTATTCATGCTTATGCGAATTTAGTTTCTTGTTAGTAAAATTGCACCTCATTAGTTTGATAATTGAAATTATTTATATATGTCCTCAGAAAAAGGCAGTAACATACGAGAGTATTTGGAAAATTGTTGAAGGCACCTAATGTTTCGGACTTTGTTAAAAATAACCATTTTTTTATCGAATTAATTTCGTTGTGGGTACATTATTTGAACATTATTATGTATAAATTTGTTGTGTATGCATGTTTTGGTTTGCTTATATTGTGTGTGTATTTTCATTCGATTCAAAAATACTATAACATAGAACACAATAATTGTGTATTTTAATATTCCACAGTATAACATGTGACTTATATGGTAAATATTCCATTGGGATGGGCTGTGCATAGCAAAAGAATCTATCTATCTCTTCCATGTGAGTACTTTATTCTCATGTGACAAGTGTGTCAACCCCATCAACTCACAACTCAGCTTTGAATTGAATCAATATTGTCTTTTACCCGCTTGATGGTTCATAACACATGTTACTTGAATAGTATGAATCAATTATGCAATTTCCATGTTCAATTTAACACTGCATTTCAAGTTCATTTCATATGTAATTGGAGTTTGAATTTAGATTTCAATTTGAGTTTGAATTTAGATTTCAATTTGAGTTTGAATTTCATTATAAATTTCAGCTCCACTATAAATATTAGCCCGAGCTTTTGTTCCATCCAAACAACAACTTACTCAATGGAAGCATCGGGAGTCTTTTAAATTTCATTTCTAAGGTAAAAACCTTTTTCAAAACTTAGACAATATGCATGTTATCATTGATTATTCCTAATTTCCATTGTTTTTTTCCAACTTTAAACGCGAAGGAAATCCCGACCATCGTAATTTTTGGTTAACAAGCATGAAGATTGGATATCTGAAGAATGCCTTTCGGATACTATCCATTTCAGCCATCTTATTGAGGTAGGTTAACCCTAAATCAAAACCATCTTAGCCAAACATACTTGATGAAAAAGCAGCTACAAATTTAAAATCTCAACGGTGATGCATTTGGTTCTCAAACAGTTAAAGCGTCAGAAACGTTTGGGACGTATGATCTAGGTGGTATACGAGAAATACAACAAATAGAAACTAAAAATCCTGATAATTGAGGGATACAACTTGTAATAATAAAAATAATAATTGAAGGGTACACGTGTATAAACTATTGATACTTTGCTAAATTAACAATGTAAATGGTTAAATTCTACTGGTGCAATGGTAATAGGCGTACATGACAAGCATCTCAACTTGTCATTTACGGCTATTTTCATTATACCGGATAACTTTTATCCGTTTACA